TTTTTGGAAATCCTGTAATATCCCTTTTGAGGTAGCTTATTTTGTCAATTAATTAGGGTGCTGGATGGTAGAGAATTTTGTCAGTAAACGATGTATACACAGTAAATACTGTTTCTTAGGCAAAGGTAACTTTTTTATATAGTTGTAAAATTCCATTATATTCCATTGCCAAAGAAACATTAAGAACTTTGTATAGCTGTATAAAAAGCAACTAATTTTTTAAAGAATAAACATTTTAAAGTCAGCAAACATACTGTGTTCTTTCAGAAGTTGATGCGCTGAGGAAGAGAGCTATGGGTGGGTCTTTTCTTCATAGCTTTCCAGGCTTACGATTTTTGATTTTTTTTTTTTTTAATGTTTGGAACATAAATGAAGATTTGATACATTCTTCCATTATCTAAAAAGGATAAATTACTCATGCTCATTGTAAGAACTTTATTTTGTAGCAAATGGCATATCACAGGATTTATCCAAATAATAGATATTTTCAGTATACAAATGTAAATAATCATAGATAAGAATGTACTTAACTGTATTTTCAAATAAGTACCTCCCCTCCTTTTTTAAGACAATAAAACTGAGTGTCAACTAACCTGTTCTTCCTGATATGCCTGGAAGTTTGTTGTGATACCCTGACTTACTCCATTATATTTCAGGATTCAGAGCGTTAGAAATTATTTTGGCAACCTACAGGATAACGTAACACTGGTCCTTCGGCCTCTGACCCACAAATGACTCAGTATAGAGTTCATTGCTAATTATAAATTACTGGTAAATCTTTTTGTCATTTTAGGCTATAGTGGGAAAAATCTGGCCGTTTTTGTGTTTTTCTGAAGGCCATGGAATAAAAGAATCCAAAGATTTAAATATTTTATCTATTTTGATTTTTGTTAACTTTCTCCTTAAAATATTCAGTAGTGATAAAGATAAGAAAAACTGCATTGTAGGAGGATTGGAATATTTAATGGTGGTTGATATTTTTAATTTTAATTTTATATCTTTTGTATAGCTCTACAAGAAGATGTTTTGTAGTTTGGTTTCATTATTAAGGTTCAATACTTGGCAGCCATAGTTTAGATAATTTGTTTAATACTGTTTGCTTGCATGTTAAGAACAAAGTCTTTTGGAGGACCCACAAGTCATGATATTGAACACATTTCTGAGGCATTCTGAATATCAAAGCGAGTGCTATGGCAATACCTGCGTAGACTGTTTGAGATGTCCCAGGCTGATTTGAAGAAGGAAAACTGTAAATACCAGTTCTGCCTACTTTGAAAGTATGAATTCATGCATTTCCCAAGCCTTCTGGGTCACTGATTAGGGCATTTGGTGTCCCAGTGATAACTGGCAGCATGGCATACCTGCAGTGCACCTTGCAATATTAAAGTGAGGTTTTTATTCTAAGACAGAATAAAACTGTTCAATAAAAAAATGTTCGTCAAAGTTCTTTCTCTTTAAACAGTGATACTCTCTTAACAATAGAAAAACATAGTGGAAGGTATCTTTAACATCCAAGAGTGGAATTGTGATCATGTTTATATCCCTAAAATAACTAAATTCTTACTTTTTTCCCCTAGGATTTTTTTTTTCCTAGGTTTTTAGGTAAAACTCAAAGCCCTTTCTCCCCCTCCTAGAGTATAGACAGCTCCTGAGTTACAATCCATGACATGAGGAGACTAAACCAAGCAGGCACAAGCCAGCCTCAGGTTAAGAGTGTACCCTCTGTGGACACGCAGGTGGAAAGAGGGAAGGGCTGATTCCTCCTAAACTCATCTTTGGATAGACCATTTCTCCCTCCAAAAGCACAACTTAATGTGAAGGCTAGGGGAAGAGGTCACGAATATTAATTCAGCTCAATGGCTCTTAATCGGGGGTGAACTGACATCCGGGGAGCATTCAAGAGTGTGAAAACAGGTGTTTTGGGGGACCACACTGGCATTTAAGAGTAAGGGCCCGGATAGTTAATGTCCTGTGCTATGCTGGACAGTGCCGTATCCAGTTATCCAGCCTAAAGTGCATCAGTGGCCCTTCCACTTTGAGAAATGCTGGAAGGACAATGATTTGGGAAATAATTCCCTCTCCCACCCCCCAACAAATTTTTAAAAACTTCACTGAGGAGTCTTTACATGGTATATGAAAAGAAAGGACCATACTTACAGGAGCACTGGCAGCATCTTGGCAAGTCATTTATCATGTAGAAATTACCACTTCTTCCTGTTCTCTCTCAGTAGTTCATAAATCTCTTATCAGAATCAGCTGAGGAGCACATTTTTATTTTTACTTTTATTTAACTGAAGTGTAGTTGATTTACAAAGTACAAACTCCCACGCTTCACACCTGAAGAGTTCGATTCTGAAATTCTGTAGTGGAACCTGGGAATTGGTCTGTCTCACAGGTAGTTCTGATCAGGCAGGTTTAGAAAGACAAATTTAAAACTTCACAGCTGGCTCATCAAATCTAGCCCCTTCCTTGTAGGGGCCTTGGTGGTGTTTCCATGTAGGATTATTTTATCATTTCTCCATCCTTCCAAATCTCATGTCCAGGTTGTGACTGGGGCATGAAGAGTGGGAAGGGACTGAGTGGAAGATGGGGCACATTTCTGCAGGACAGTGTAGGGGGAAACGGGGAGATTGAGACTCAGTTCCTGGCATATAAGAAATGGGTGTATGTTGTTTCTGTCTCACTTTTATGTGACTTGTCCCTGTCTCTGGTTGTCTGCCTGAAAGAGAAGGCACTCCTTCTGTGAAGCCCTGTAGTAACAGTTCAGATCTAATTCTGTCTGGATTCAGTGGTTCAGTGTGACAGGATCCCCCTGCCCTATTCAGATACTATAAACTGGTTTAAACAGTGACAGTTGGGGGAGTGTCACAGTATAAGGTAATGAAGGTGAATGGTTTCTTAGGAGCTCAGATGTCACCAGTTTACTTAGTTTACCCTGTTTTGACTGTGTTTTTAAAAGATGCAAGTATTAGTACAATGGGAATCAAACTTAGGAAAGTAAAGTAGAATCATTAATCTCTGGATCTCAGGATGCCTAGCGGGGATTAGCTCAGAGCAGGCCACTTTAGTTCTCTGAAGGTAGAGGCACTGGGACAACTTCTTGGAAGAGGTATCCCCTGAGTAGGAGCTGGTCACGTGAGGGAAGTAAGAGAGGGTGTTAACTTTGAGCATCAGAGACGTAGAGGCCAGCAGCAGCATTTCAGCCAGCTGGTGCGTACACGGGGAAGCTAAAGATCCAGGTCCCAGGCACTGCTCTTGTTGGGTAATAGCCTCCTGAGGAGCAGAGGTTATCCTGCTTTTCAGTCAGGGCTAGTGAAAAGCGAGCTTGTGGTTTGAGACATTTATAAATCTGGCTCCAAGAGCACGTGGTGCGTCTGAATCTAATGTGGTTTCTGTTCTCAGTGATGGTACCGAGCTGTGAGTCAGTGGTATGGGTGTCCTTTACGTTCCAGCTCGGTTCATATTTAACAAACTTGGCTGACTAATAAAAATGTTTTGGGGTTTAGCTCACAAACATATCAAAATCAACCCGAGTCTGATTCTGGTTCACCATGAATGTTGATCTTAGGGAAATGCTTTAAAATGCAGTGATGTTCATATTGTGGTTTATAAAGAAACAAAGCAGCTCTGTGAGGCCAAAGCATATTTCAGTTCAATAATAAGCCTTTCTTAGGGTGACTCATAGTTTAGGTGCACAGAAACAACTGAGAGCGGCCAGCAAGGAGCTCATGACCCAGAAAGTCTTGCCTTTGCCTCCAAACTCGAAGAACAGTCTACAAGTGGAAGGGAAGAGAGCAAAGAATGCCAATTTTGAGAAAGTGTGAGAAGCCTGGGCCAGGGCGAGACTGTAATGAATTCCAGTGAATGGTTTACAGTCATCCCAGTACAGGGGACAGGAACATGTTTACTAGATGTCTGGAGTGTGCTTCTATAATCCTGGTGCTCACTTAATCCTGATAATCCTCTGCTGCTGGCCTCACACAGGATTGTTGATGAGAATGCAAATCCCAACATTGCAATTCAGGATTTTGCTTGTGCTGAAATTGTTTCGTAAATTTTTTTTAATGGATTAGTTGGATGATGGTTATCCCTTTGTCCATTCCAGTATTTAATGGCATTTCAGTGAGTATTGGAACCTTGCAGTTTGCAGTTACAAAATGGAATTAGGTATGGTTTTGTTTTTGTACAAGTAATACATTGTAAAAAGGATATGGGCAGTATGGAAGGTGGTTTTTAAAAATAAATAAGGGAAAAGAAGAAAGAAAAGAAAATCTACAGCCCCACTACCCAAAGCTAACCATAGTCAAAACCATTTGGCTATATATTTTGCCTGGCATTGTTCTGTACAGACATGTGCTTTTCGACAAAAATGGATTCATAGTATATAAACTATTGTGAAACTTGCTTTTTTCACTTAGTATATTGAGTAGCACTGTTTTATTTTAAAGTATAATGTGCACACAGAAAAGCACACATATCATAATTACCTATGTAAAGAGTACCCAGAAGCCCCTCTACAACTCCCAGTAGCCCCCACCCCCTCAAGGGTAACCACTATCCTGACTTCTAACAGCATAGATTGCTTTTCCTTGTTTTTGTTCTTAAATGGAATTACGCAGTATGTACTTTTTTGTGCTTAGCTTCTTTGCTCAACGTTGTGTTTGTGAGATTCATCCACATTGTTGCATTTGACTGTGGAGTGTTCATTTTTGTTGCAGTATAATATTCCATTGTATTAATAGGCCACAGTTTATCCATTCTACTGCATTTGGGTAGTTTCTAGCTTTTGGCTGTTAAAATAATGCAGACACTTTTTTCCTCAGCAAGAGAAGCTGAAGTTAGAGTGGGTGAAAGGAATACTGACTTAAACCTCTTAAGGACTTTGAGTACTATGAAAGATAGTCGTGCACAGCTATGGTGCTACTCCACACCACTGTGCTACTGCTAGTTATTTGTTACTAGAAATAAAGTATCAGAAAACCCTGAGGTGCTATAGATGTAGGCATAGATGTATGTGTTAGAGCAGATGCAAGGTTAATCCTTTCTGTGCCTAGCCTTTGTCCCCTAAAGGCACTGCTCCACATAGCACCCTTCCCAGTGGCAGAACTGAAGTATTCCTCGTCCTACAAACCTATGTTCAGGATGTAGGCTTGGTGTCCATGCTCCCTCCCCTCTCGGTAAAACCCCTACTTACTCTTTTAAGGCTTTTGTAATCCCTTCACTTACCTGGTTATGATCTTGTAATGACCTGATTACTACCCATCTCCTTAAAAAAAGTATACCTGCCTTTCTCTTCCTCTATACTTATATTATTCCAAATGACTTCAACATCTGTGTGGTTTACCCATCTGTGTTGGGAGTCCCCAGGACAATCATACTCATGGTTACGATTTCTTACAGCAAAAAGATGCAAAGCAGAATTATCAAAGGAAAAGACACTTGGGCAAAGTCTAGACTAAGCCAGGCTCACACGTCCAGAAGGGACTTTGAAAGTGGAGTCATGAAAGATGCACTTCATTCCCCAGCGATGAGATGTTTCAACATGTGTGGAATGTTGTCTACCAGGGAAGCTCATTAGAGGCTGAGTGCCCAGGGTTTTGATCGGGGGCTGGTAACGTAGGCAGCCTCTTCTTGGCACATACCAAAATCCCAGACTCCCAGAAGTAAAGCACAAGTAAACCACGTTGTTCGTACAAACAATTTAGGTATAGTAGTGAGGATGATAGAAATCCTTCTCAAGTCTAGATTTCCAGATGTCAGTCGAAGGCCAAACTTGTAAGCAGTCTTTATAAAGGACAGCATTCAGGACTGCTTTGTTAACTCTTCTAGATCCATCCTACACCCTGGTTCCTGTTCCTTGCCCTGTGACCATTTCTTCTCATCTCCCACCCAAACCTGTGGACACACCTGGACCTTGTCCATCAACCTCAGCTGCATCACCTCTGAATCATGGGTATTAGACACCTCACACGTTGATCTTCCAACTGGCTTGCTCAAGAAACAAACACACGTATATGCAGTGACCTAACCACTCCCTTGCTCAGTAACTGCTTTTAGCTTCCAGGTCAGGAATCTTTCTACTTTTGATTCATTAGCTCCCTTTTTTTGCTTTCCCTACCGCCATCTCCAACCAGCCTAAACTCCATGATCCAATCATTTGTCTCACAAATACCCTAATCTCCTTTGCTCCTCTTTTGATCTTGTGCTCCTTCCTAGAGAAACCCCGACCATAAAAGCATCTACCCCCACCACCAACATTGTCAGTATTCACCCAGAGGGTTATGTCCTGCAGAAGAGATCACAGAAGAGAATTAGTACCACTGTAAATCTGATGACTGCTCTCTACTAGGTCCTCAACATTGCCAGCAAAACTTAGTACTTTTCTGTAATCACCTCTGTAGTCAGCAAACAGCCTTGCCATCTATTTCAAAGAGAACCAGAAGCCATTGGATGGAAACTGCCTCAGGCACGCACCACATCCTCTAAACCAACCTCATCTGCATCCAGCCTTTTCCTGGTTGTCCTATAAAAATAGAGAAAAGACGGCCTGTCAAAACCTTCCCCATTTCCAGACTTACATTATTGAGTTATTTCAGCCTATAACTTCAACTTCTTTGATAAAGGATCCTTTGCGTTTGCATTTAGTTATTCTGCTAGTGTATTATGTAGCATATTAGTATGTTAGTACTCATATTGACATATACAGGCACAACTTGGAGATACTGCGGATTCAGTTCCAGACTACGATAAAACATATCACAATAAAGCAAGTCGTGTCAACTTTTTTATTTCCTAGGTATGTAAAAGTGAGGTTTACAGTGTACTGTAGTCTGTTAAATGTACAATAATAACGTCTTAAAGACAACATACATACCTTAGTTTTAAAATAATGCTGTTGGAAAAATGGCGGCAATAGACTCGCTAGATGCAGGGTTGCCACAGACCTTCAGTTTGTCAAAGCAGCGTCTGCAAAGCAGAAGAAGATGAAGTATGCCTGTAGTTGTAATTATGTAGCATTTATTATATCAAAGACTTCTTTTTTTTTTTAAGAAAATTATGACAAATCCTACATTCTACCATTTCCTACTTAACTCTTTAACTGTCTAGACGCCTGATCTCCCTTCTACTTCCTAACCCACTTGATCTACTCTGTATACCACTGATGCAGTTCTTGGTGAGGTCCCCAGTGAGCTCCAGCAAACCTTTCACAGTTTTCCTCTCTTACTTGCTTTACAGAAGCATTTCATACGGTCGACTTCTTCCTTCTTAAAATACTCCTGTTTTCCTGGCTGCCATACTCATCTGGCTTTCGTCCCACCCTCTCTACTTGCTGCTTCTGTCTGCCTAATTCTAATTTTTCAATCACCCCATTTTAAAAGGATAGTGTTCCTCAAGGTTCTACTTTAACTTTTTTCTCCACCTCCCCCCACCACAAATTATGCAGTCAAGTGTCCCACATTTGGGGAAATCTCAGGGGTCAGCACATCCGGAGTGCAATGGAATAAGCCTCACTCTGGGAAAACCACCTTCGTGACCATGTTATCTCCCCTGCCAGGTAAATTTGCTTTTTTTCTCTTTTTAAACTGCATACTGTCTATGGCATCAACCCCTACGGCCTTAACTACCTGGAGTTACTCTCACATTCACTTTTTATCCAGCACAGATCTCTTCTGAGTCTAGATCTGACTTCTTGATGCCTGTAAAGGTCTTAAAGTAGCTTCTCTAACATAGTATTCCCCAAACCGAAGTGATGATCTTGCTTCTGCTTTTCTTCCAGTGTTCTTTTTTTTTCAATTTCAAAATGCTTTTTTATTATGATACTTAATAGTCGCTTTTAAAAAAATAGTTGTTTTTTATTAAAGGATAGTTGATTTACAATGTGTTTCAGGTGTACAGAAGCATCATTCTGTTACACATAAATATATATATATTCCTTTTCAGATTCTTTTCCATTATAGGTTATTATAAGAAAGATATTGAATATAGTTCCCTGTGCTATACAGTAGGTTTTTGTTGGTTATCTGGTTTATATATAGTGGCGTGAACATTCTAATCACAAACTCCTAATTTATCCCTCCCCCACCTTTCCCCTTTGGTAGCCATAAGTTTGTTTTCTATCTGTGAGTCTGCTGCTGTTTTGTAAATAAATTCATTTGTATCATTTTTTTATATTCTATACATAAGCAATATTATATTTGTGTTACTCTGACTTACTTCCCTTAGTGTAATCATCCCTAGGTCCATCCACATTGCTGCAAATGGCATTATTTCATTCTTTTTATGGCTGAGTAATATTCCATTTTATACATATATACATATCACATCTTCTTTATCCATTCATCTGTTGATGGCTGTTTAGGTTGTTTCCATGTCTTGGCTGTTATAAGTACTGCTGCTGTGAACATTGGGGTGCATGTATCTTTTCAAATTAGACTTTGTCCAGATATATGCCCAGGAGTGGGATAGCTGGATTATATGGTTAACTCTAGTTTTAGCTTTTTAAGGAACCTCTGTACTGTTCTCCATAATAGCTGCATCAGTTTACATCCCCACCAACAGTGTAGAAGGGTTCCTTTTCTCTGCACCCTCTCCAGCATTCCAATTTGTAGGATCCAGTAGTTCCATTATTTGTAGACTTTTTGGTGATAGCCATTCTGACCAGTGTGATGTGATACCTCATTGTAGTTTTCATTTGCATTTTTCTAATAATTAATGATGTTTAGCATCTTTTCATGTGTCTTTTTAGATCTGCCTGGTTTTGATTGGGTTGTTTGGTTTTTTTTAATACTGAGCTATATGAGCCCTTTGTATATTTTGAAAATTAATCCTTTGTCAGTCACATCATTTGCAAATCCAGAAAATTGTCTTTTTTGTTTTGTCAATGATTTCCTTGGCTTTGTGAAAGCTTTTTAAGTTTCATTAGGTCCCATTTGTTTATTTTGTTTTTATTTCCATTACTCTAGGAGACAGGTCCAAAAAAGTTTATATTTTTAGTTAAATAATATCTGTACATAGCACAAATGGAAACAAATAGCATAGTTAGTTGACTTCTCTTCCTTAAAGGCAAATACTATGAACAGTTTATCTGTATTCTTTCACATGTCCCTATCCAGATGGTGTGTATGCACATGATATCCACGTCCCTCCTTTTGTTAATATGTCAATAGGAAGAGTCTGTATAAACTGTTTTTTACTTTGTTTTTCCCATGTGTTTATCAACCATGGGCCTCTTTTTATGTAGATTTACTGTCTTAACCCCGCACACACAGAGATTCACACATCCTTACTCTGTATCCTCCTCACATACTTAATCATAACACTTAATTACAGCTACATAATACTTATTACAACTAAGTAAATATCATTTATGGATGAGCCAAATTGTCTATATTTCCTTTTTTTACACAATGTTTTATTCCTCCTGCCACTAAACATTGTCTTACTTTCACATATTGGTTGACTTTAAAAGCTGAAAACTCATAAACAATATTTTGGTGTGATTTTATAAGAATTCTTCAGCCCAGAGCCCAGTGATGTGCCTTCTCTACAGTTCTAGTATCATAAATACTGTACCTTTCAAAAAATATATGTTACTATGATCAAGATTAAGTGGATTTTCTTTTCTTGGATTCCATCAGGTTTTTAAAATCATCTACATTGTAATTTGCCTCATGATTTGACCTTGTCTTCCTTGTCTGATTTTTAAACTGTTTTTCCTCTTTTACATTAAATATAAACAGAAGAATATGGGACCCACAATATGCGTAACTGAACCTATAACAACTCAAGAACTAGAACGTTATCAACAACCTGTATGTATTATGACTCCCCTATTGCATTTCTGCTTCACCCAAAAGGAAATGACTATCCTGAAGTTTGTATGTATTATTATCTTGGTTTTGTTTTTGTCTGCAATAGTTTCCCTAGAATTTCTGATTGGCTCTTGCACATGTGTGTTCATGTTCTCTCTCTCTCTTCCCGCTCCCTTCTTTCTCATTCTCTATTGCTTGGAATCTATTCCATTCTTCTTGAGCTCACCAATTTTCATATCTCATTAAGATCATTTTTCCCTCGAACGATTATTTTCCCCACAGCTTTTCATTCTTCCTGGAGTTTCTGAATTCTCTGCTTGTATTTATTGCCTTTATCATATAATAAAATTTTTCCAAACCCTTAACCATGCTATCTGATTAGTTTATGAAATCTTTTTCTCTAGAGACTACTGTCCTGTAACCTTCTGCTATCCTGCTAAAGATCAAACATGCTGTTTTTGAGATCTTCAGCAGTTATGATCCTGGGATTTCTCATTATTGCCCTCCTGGGTTAGATCACAGTTTCCCGGATGCCCTGTATTCCATTTTCTCATTTGCTAGAATTCTTACTTAGGGAGTTTTCTTTAAAAGTATACAGGGCTAGGGGAGGGTATAGCTCAGTGGTTAAGTGCATGCCTAGCACGCATGAGGTCCCAGGTTCAGTCCCTGGTACCTCCATTAAAATAAATAAGTAAATAAACCAATTACCCCCCAAAATAAATAAAAATAGTAATAAAGAAAGACACTTGAAAATATACAGAGCCAGATTGTAAGGTCTTTATCACATCTTCCTCTTTTTCAAATTTGACACTTTAAAAAATGTAAAAGTCATTTTGGGAGGAGGGTATAGATCAGTGATAGAGTGCATGCTTAGCAAGCATTGACATCATAGGTTTGATCCCCAGTACCTCTGTTAAATAATGAAAAATAATAATAGATAAATAAACCTAATTACCCCCCAAAGAAAACAAATTTAAAAAATTATATATGTATATAAAATTCTTAGTTCAATTGTGACCTTTTATCTATCTAACATGCAGTGCTAACTCTGATGCCAGTTTGATTCTTTTTCATTGTAGATGATGATTTTTCTCTTTGGAAGCTTTGCATTTTCCTTTGTGTTAAGGAATTTTAAGGATTTCTCTAGGTATGGGTCTTTTTGTTTTAACCCAGTGTTATTCTGGGCAGTTTGTAGACCCTTTTGATTTAAAGATCTGTATGTTTCCTTTAGTTCTTTCTCCTATTACTTCTTAGATAATTATTTGATGCTACCCACCCAGTTCTTTCACTAGATCTCCCTCTTACTCAGATGTAAGAGCTGTCAAATCAAACTTTTGTGTTTCTTAAGTTTGTTTCTCAGATTTTCTTTCTTAATCCTGTTAATCTTGGTCATAAACTTCCTGCAGTAGACTTTATTCAAATACCTGAGAATTCTTGATTAGCTTTCATGGGAGTTGCCCTGGAGCTCTGGGTTTGGCCGGAATTTGTCAGCTGGCAGATGCTTTAAGGTGTGATCTTTATCCTTGAGGTCTCTGAATTCCAGAGGGCTTGTTCAAAGGTGTCAATATTTCCACATCCCACAGATACCTGCAGAGAAGAATCTTCCTTTGCTTGTTTTTCCTAGGAGTGTGTTGCCTGATTATAGGTCGTTCTAATTGCAGCAGTGAGAAACAAGATTGTTCACTGCTTGTTGCGGAGACAGACCATACATTAGTTTTCCTGTTTTCAAGCCTCCTTCTCACTCTTGCCCTCTGTTGTACCTGCTGCTTTAGAGTCTGAAGCATTTCCGAGTTTCAGGCACATGGCTCCTTCTGCACAATAGCACCCCTCGGTATGGTATCTTCTGTTCTGCCCTGGGGTCACCATACTTCCATCTGTTGTAATCAGTCTAAAAATTTGTTGGAAAAAAATTTATTTTTAAAGAATAAAAGATAAATAAATAAAATAAATTTTTTTAAAGATTAAAAAAAAAAAAGACCAAAAAAATAGAATTTGTTGAAAAATACTTCACACATTTCTCCCTGCACAATTCCATTTATATTATAAATATCATTTTAGTCATTTATTGACATTTTAATGTCGTCTTCTAGGAAAAGAAGGTAAACGTTTGTAGCTGGTTTACCGTCTTGAGCCAGAAATCTGTTTGCCTCTATTCTAGTGTGAAGCACCTTCAGCTCTTGCCAGTGCTACTGTAATAGCCTCTTCATTGGTCACCGTCTGTCCATACTGCACGTTTCTGGTTCATTTTCTGTGCAGTAAGCAGAATGAGCTTTTAGGAACATAATTTGTATCACATGTCTTACAGGAGGCATCTAATACGGAAGCCTCAAGAGACTGCGTCCTACCGGAAATTCTATCACTGCAACCGTGTTCTGAAATGGATGTGATCATGGTGTCAAACAGCCAGGCCCATGCAACTCTCAAGAGCCAACTCCTGGGGGAGGGGGTAGCTCAAGTGGTAGAGCACATGCTTAGCATGCATGAGGTTCTGGGTTCAATCCTCAATACCTCCTCTAAGAATAAATGAATAAACCTAATTACCTAATTACCTACCCCACCAAAAAGAAAAAAAAAAAAAGCCAACCCCTAACCAAGGCTTCTTTCTCTCCAAGGCCTCAGTCCTGGTCTAGGCCTCTGAGTCACAGATGTAAAAATAAGTCTCGGGACTGTGAGCTAGCAGGGCAGCTGCACACCTCTGGTTCTGTGGCAAGCTGGTGTTCAGCAGCGAGTCGCCATGTCCAGCACTGCTGC